GCCGGTCGCGATCGCTACGTAAGGGCCCCCGGCGTTCGGCGCGCGGCTGACGTTGTAAGTGGCCGCGCCCGGCGAGGGGTTCCAGGAAAGCTCTACCCGGCGAGCGGGCGTGCTGCCGCCATAGTTGGCGGCCCAGAACACACGGTCGTCGGAATCGACGACGCCATCGCCGTCCCCGTCGACGCCTTGGCCGGGCGTCGCCACGACGGTGTCCAGGTTGTCCCGCCAGACGGTGTAGTCGGCGACGTTGACGACGCCGTCGCCGTTGTAGTCGCCGGGGGTCGCCTCTTCGACGCCCCACGCTGCGGTTAGCCCCGTTGGGAACGAGGGCGATCCTGGTGGGACGATCGCCCACTGCTGGGCGGCGTCGTTCGACGTTTCAAGGAACTGAGCGAAGTCGCCCAGGACGGTCGAGCCGCCCGCCATCCCCACGCTATAGCCTTGATCGACAACGACGATGTTAAAGAAGCCATCGCCGGCGGGCGAAAGGACGAACCGCCGCGCCGACGCGTTGTCATAGCCCCACGGCGTCAACCCGACCGGGTCGCTACCTTGTTGGGAGAAGACCGGGGCGTAGGTGTTGCTCCAGCTCCAGTTGCTGGCCCCCGCGTTAAGGATGCTGTACTGGCCGGCGCCACGGTGGACGAGACTCCATTGCTCGCTGGTGGACCCTGTGTACTCGTTTTGCACCACCACGTCGCTCCCCTGCGACGTTCCGCGTTCCAGGGCCAAGCCGCTGTTGCGATTGATCAGCTTGTAGACGCCGTTCGACAGCGCGCCCGTCGCCGACGGCGTCAGCTCGATCCAGTTGAGGTTGAAGCCGCCGGTGACGACTTCCAGGCGGAGCTTCTGCCTCCCCGGTTCGAGATAGACCACTCTCTCGACCGTCGTCCAGTTTTGGTCCCCGCCCGTAGCGGGCAATTGCCAGACGCCGGTCTTGTCGTCGTCGTGCATTAAGACTCGCACCGCTCCGCCAACAGAACTCGCCGTGCGTAGGCGCAGCGTGTAGTACCCGGGCTCTCGGACGTTGAGCGTATACTCGAGCCATTCGCCGGCCTCGGTGTCGGTGACGTTGAAGTCGCCGAAGCGGTCGTCGGTCAGCTCGATATCGACCCCCACGTCGGGCCGCAATGCGCCGCCTAGGTTGACGCCGTCGGCGTCACTGTAGGCGACGCCCTCGGCGCCCGTGTCGAAGTGTTCCGCTTCGATGCGGAGCGTCCCCGAAAGACCGGTCGTGTAGCGTGGCAGGCCGCTGTTGCCGTACACGCCACGCTGGGCCGGGAACGCGCCGAAGTCGGGCGTCCAAGAGAGACCGGCCCTATCTATAAGGTCGCTGTACGTCTCGGGAGCGAAGATCGAGGAGGAGATAAAGTTCGGTGGGATGTGCTGAAACGTCAGCCAGGAAACGCCCAGTCGCTCGTACTCCGAGATCTGCTCGACGACTAAACCGTGGTCTAAGGACCCCCACTCTTCGCCGGCCACCTCGGTCATGAACACCGGGTACCCGGCATTGATGATCGCTTCCACCGCGGGGATGGTCGCCATGCCCGCGTAGCCGTGGAACGCGACGCCCGTGTTCGACCAGTCGATCGACGCGCCCTGCGAGACGGTGTTGATGTCGGCGATGGCAGAAGCGCCGTCGCCCAGCACCGCGATCGAGAACAGCAGGATCGGCGTCTCTGGCGCCAGCGAGCGGATCAGCGTGTAGGCGTCGGCCTGCATCTGCAGAGCCGGCGCTGGGTAGGGCGTCGACCAGGCGTGAGGCTCGTTCTGGACCTCAAAGATGACGTGGGTCTCGTCCTTGTAGCGATCGGCGTACAAGGCCCAGAAGTCCATCACATAGTCGTTATTGAAACTCCCGTTGTTGCCGCCGTTGCCGATGGTGAGCACGAGGTACAGGCCCTCGTCGCGGGTCATCTGCACCATCTGGTCGATGCGATTCATCGCGTAACCCGGCGCCGTCCCCGAACCGGGCACGCCCGACCTGTAGTCAGGGTCGAACACCTCGCCGTAGAGGTGGATCGAGTTGGCGCCGTAGTTCTTGATCTGTTGGATGTTGGCGAGCGGCGGTGGATTGCCCCATTCGGTCGAGGCGAACGGCCCCCGTAAGAGGGCGCCGTTGTCGGCAACGAAAGTTGTCCCCGTGGTGTTGAGCGTCGGCCTGCCGCGCGGCGCCGTAATCGCCGCCTCCACACCGTCTTCTAAAGCGGCGGCGACGATCCGCCCCACCCCTTCCTCGACCGGCGTGACGGTGANNCCGCCGCTGGAACCGGTCGCCGTCAGCCGCACGGTGTTGACGCCCGCGACGAGGGCGACGACCTCCGCGACCGACGTGTAAGCCCCCCAACCGCCCGTCGGCGCAAAGCTTAAGCCGCTGTTGACGATGGCGCCGTTGACGGTCAGTCACAGCGGCCGGTCCGCCGAGGCGCCGCTGGCGTAGCGGAAGGCCAACTCGTAGGCGCCCGCCGCCGGTGTGTCGAAGGTCCACTCGACGTAGTCCCCGGTCGCGCTAACGAAGTCGGCGTACCCGCTGCCGGTGAAGCCTGCCCACTCCGTGCCGACGACGGCGCCCGAGAGCAACGCGTCTTCGGCCTCGAGGACGAGCGGGCCCGCCGCCAGGGTCGCGCTCGACTCGGCGCTGAGGGGACTCTCGCCGGCGCCATTGATAGCGCTAACGCGGTAGTGGTACGTCGTGCCGGTCGCTAAACCAGCATCGCTATAGCCGTTCGCCGGCACGCCCGCGGCGATCAACGTGTAAGGCCCGCCGGCGACCGTCGATCGATAGACGTTGTAGCCCGCGGCGCCGGGGACGGCCGTCCAGGTGAGGTCGATTTGGGCAGCGGTTGCGGCCGT